AGGTGTGGTCAATAAATTAGAGAAGAAGTGATACCTAGAGAGCAAATTTCACAATTCTCATACAAGGAAAAGTTGATGATTTTTTAATACTGCTTTATAAAATTAAGAACTTAAAGCTTATATAATATTAAAATTTAAATTATTAGCTAAGGTTTGATACCAAGGGTATTGATGTACCATGATAATAAAATACTTTAAATGTTGAATGTAACTCAATAAAACCTTGTGACATGTGCAGAAAAGGATGCCTGTATGGAAAGAGTTAAATAAGAAATGTATACTTTTTGACAGAGATAAAATTTAACTCATAAGATCACAAATACTAAATGTGTCTTGTTTCCCAACTTTTTTGAAGGCTAAATAGTAAACTACCTAATCATCTTGTAAGCAGATCCTGCAATATAAAAATGTCCTCAGGACTTAATGGTACTCTCTACATGAAAAATAGTACAAGAAATCCTAAAATAAATAACAAATTCATTTGAATTTCATTAAGTTAAAAATTATTTAGAGTTGCATGGCTGTAAAGTTACATGAAGAAAAATGTAAATAATCCAAAATAACTAGCCCAGCAATAATAGCCATTACGACACTTTTGTATCACTGAGTAAAATTATCAAAGTAAATGTAAGGTAAATAGATGGTAGGACTAATTTTTATATTATTTACATGTGGCTTATTTAATATAATTTACTTTATTAAACATAAGTATTGATATAGCATATTTTGGTCTTGCTATATGGGGTATATAATTGATTTATTCTATTTTTTTTTTCTTGCAATACAACACAAGTATCTATATTTACTTGACAAATTAAGTACATATAATAATAACAAAATGTTTGGTAGATGTGGAAAAATATATTCAGATATCATTACAAAAATGTTTGAACATTTTGGTCGTTTTTAGTTCTGTTCTACATTTAGTCATTTAGAACTGAATGTTGGTTACACCAGTTTAGTTCTTTTTTCTACACTTAGTTACTAGAAGCAAATATCATTACACAAATTTAGTTTTCTGTTCCACATTTAATCATCAGAAGTGAATGTCAGTTGTATTAGTTTGGTTCTGTTTCACATTTAGTCATTAGAAGTGAAAGTTAGTTACACTAATTTAATTTTTTGTACAACGTTTAGTCGTTAGAGGTGAATGTAATTTACACTAGTTTAGTTCTGTTTTTACATTCAGTCATTAGAAATGAATGTCAGTTGTACTAGTTTAGTTCTCTAACTGACATTCATTTCTAATGACTGAATGTAAAACAGAGAACTACAGTATTGTAACCAACATTCATTTCTAATGACTGAATGTAAAACAGAGAACTACAGTACTGTAACCAACATTTATTTCTAATGACTGAATGTAAAACAGAGAACTACAGTATTGTAACCAACATTTATTTCTAATGACTGAATGTAAAACAGAGAACTAAACTAGTATGTTTTACATTCAGTCATTAGAAATAAATGTTGGTTACAATACTGTAGTTCTCTGTTTTACATTCAGTCATTAGAAATGAATGTTGGTTACAATACTGTAGTTCTCTGTTTTACATTCAGTCATTAGAAATGAATTTTGGTTACAATAGTGTAGTTTTCTGTTTTACATTCTGTCATTAGAAATGAATGTTGGTTACAATAGTGTAGTTCTCTGTTTTACATTCAGTCATCAGAAATGAATATTGGTCACATTATTTTAATTCTCTTTTACATTTATTCATTAGAAGCAGATATGAATTGTTAGATATGATAAATATGTTTTAGTAATAACTATTATTAAAGCAGTTATGAACACCATATATATAACTAACAGTTTCTTGAGGGCTTACTCTATAATGTAATTGTAGTACTGATCAATATGTTTGTGTTATGTTTAATATGGTGAAACAGTAAAAATGTTAAGTAATTTTTCACACCCACACTCTAGGGTACCATAGAAAATTTTGTACCTCCCAAGGCATTTCCCACTTATCTAAGCTGTATAGTTGCATTCACTTCCCATGCCAGTCAGGTATGCTATATTTGTTGACATTTCTAAACAGCTAAAATATGTATTGAATTTGTCATTATGTATTGAGTTTTTTTATATACTGTATTAAGAATGTGACAAATCATTAATGAAAAATGTTTCAAAAAGCTGAGTATATGTAATCTTTCTACCTTTAA